CTATCCTGCAACATGTAATTTTTACCTCATCGAGTTGTTGCGATCCCATAATTTGTTTGCTAGTCTCGACCCAGTCCCTTACCCCTGGAGCTCTCGTCCGTCCACAACATGAAGCTATCCACACAATTTGCACCACCTCGACTATTCAACGCACACATCATATTTCGTTGATCTATTTGGCTTTGCGGTGTACTAAATCTTCAGGAGATGATGTCGGTGATTTTTTGCAATTTATTTCTTTTGTTTTTGACTTGTTAAAGCGTCATAGCCTGCCTAAGCGATGTATCTCATGCAAGTCGCGTCTAGGGGCGCGGGTTGTCGCGCCGCATATCACGACAGCGACAACGCAAGGTTACAGGATTACTCTTATACTGGTTCCAGCGAGTGGAGAGTCAGAGTCCCTTGTTCTGTCAACTTATCGAGGTCCGGGTTCGACAACTACGACTCAATGTTCGGAACACTGCACTAATCGCGGTGCGCGTCGTGGCAAACCAAATTCCGGCAGACATTCGTTAAAGGGGAGACTGCCGCGCCGGTAAGGCAACTTTGGTGCCTTATGTACGGATCAGTCTCTTCGCGCTCTTTCGGGTTTCCCCCTGGCGTCATTCTGCGAGACCAATTTCCTCGGCCTTCTTCTCCCTTCGCCTAGTTCATGGACCAAGCGCGTACGACTACTATGTGGGGTTATGATTCGCGATCACGATGTCCACGTCACCGATGATCCGCCAACACTTTTCAACTGCCTGGCATGACCACGACGATTTGTCGATTCAGCAGACGACTAGCATTTCCATCACAAATGCCCATCAAGTTTCAAACCACGCCTTCATTCCCATCTATCAAAAGCAGAGGGTTCATTTACTGCAATGCAATCAAGTGTCATCATTTGAACTGATCAGAGACTGCGATATTGAGATCAGATGCAGCTACTCAAGGGCATTCCAGCATCGCCCTAAAGCATCACGACGATACTCATCACATGAATATTCACCTCTAGATCTGAGGCGCTGCAAATTTCCCGGGCTTAGAAAAGGGCGTGCACCTTATCTGCGGCGATTCCTATCTCTTGGTCATCGGTGATCAAGAATCTCTCAGCCTCTGCCCTCTCAGCACGTCAAGCTTGCTTGGCCTGATCGTCCGACTACGATAGCATCAAGTGCCAAAGACGAGCATTTCAATTGTCCATAAGGGAAGATGACATAAGATCCATGGCAAACGACAAATATTGACGGGGCTCAAGCTATTCGCCCAATTGTGTAGGCACAGCCCTAACACAATAAGATCACGGATGCCTTGGAACTGCTGCTAGGTGTTATTTCCAAGTGATTACCCACACGCGAAAGCTCTGCCCACGAGGCTAGAAATCCTCAGGAACGTCTAGCACTTTTCAGAAGACATGTTAAGCGTCTCGGAATTATGGACAGGTTGCTACGACGATGGCTCTGGTATGAGCCCGGAAGTGCACTGCATTCTCGCCTTTCCCGCGTGCGGGAAATCTCATTACCCTTCGGTGTAATATCAACACCACTTACGGGATAAAGACTGCCAAGGATGCAGAGGCTGCCTGAGATTTACTGATACCCGCATGACGAGGCTCCGACCGTAGTCACGGTTCCATTACGTGGGAGATGATTTAGAAAGTTTGGCTCACCACACACCCTAGGTACTCTCAGATATGCACCCGTCGCCTACTCCTGAGTCCAAATCGGCTCCCATGGCAATCATCCTTTGCGAGATAAGCGTCCACCTTAGCGTTATTAACTCAGCGTTTAGTTGCAAGGAGTTCACGATGGCCACGATATTTCTTTATCTTGTTTGTCTTTTCTCAGGTAGGTTTGCTGCCAGATTAACTCACGGTCGCTTGGAGTCTGCTTGATTGAGATTGTTTTCTACGATCTTCAATCCCCTTTACCCCGCCCATCTCTCCGAACATTTCCGTGACCAGAGACCGTTCAAGCGACAGCCTCGATTAAGATTCTATGTTTTGCGCAAAGAAAAAAGCCCCAACAAGCTTAAATTATTCTAATGCATATGCGATGGACCGTGAATCACGTTTTGAAATTGATTTCGAGATGGTCGGCATTGAAGTGCTGCCAAGACTACTACGCAATTCATATTAGCAGCAATTTGCCCGACCCGACATTTGCATCCAAGTGTGTGTTAATGTTGCGGTTGCTTGAGTTCTGAATGTAAGAACTCTCAGATAATTCTAGTACTTTGTTGCCTTTAACAAGCCAACGGACAAACTATCACGCCACCATCAATTAGGGATATTCGGAATCGATAAATAAGATCGGAGCCTCCGTTCTCGGTTCCATATCATCCCGAGGTCTTCGGAGAATAACAAAGTGTTGTTATTCACGGCCCACTCTGATTAAAAGGGGCTTCATCTTGCTTCATGTGATGTCATAACCCGCCTTAATAAGATACATTGTACTAGCTGGCAATGGCGGCGTTTCCATTTCAATAATGTGGTTTCTTATTTCTTATTATCATTTATCAGAAAGACCATCTATATTCTGCTTTCCTCCTAAATATTGGCAAAATCCAAGCAGCAAGGCAGATAGATCATCAACCCCACTCGTCAGCTCCACACACGCATGGGTGATTTGAGGGGCGCTCGATGAGGATTCAGGAGAGAAAAGACATAGACAGAAAGGGATTTTCACCTTTCCGTGCGTTGTTCCCCATTCATTTTTGCGAGATAGCAGGTCGCGATGTCGCCTCAATCTACCGAAGCCAATGATGAGCGCCACGAGTCCGCCGCGACGCGATCGTCAATAGACGAGAAGCAGCAATCGAGCTTTGGTGGCGCCGAGATCTCAGAGATGGATTCCCGGGGTGAGGAGCGCAAGGTCCGCGGCCACCCTACCTTACTCTCGTACGACGAGATTCCGGACTGGTATCAAGATAACCCCTACATACTCCGAGGCTACCGGCCCGTGTCGCCCTCAGCTCGGACCTGTGTTACTAGCTGGATGTACGTGCATAACGAGACGATCAACATTTATACGCACCTGCTCCCAGCAGTGGTGCTGCTGGTGAGCGGCCTGGCTTACGTTGCCGCGCGCCTGAGCCATCGCAGTAGCAGTGATGCTATCATCGCTGCGACTCAGCTATGTTCGGCTGTGCTCTGCCTCGGCCTCTCGAGCGCGTATCACACGTTCATGTGCCACTCTCAGCGCGCCGAGGCGTTGTGGCTACGCTTCGACTTCGTCGGCATCATCTTCCTGATCCTAGGTTCTTTCGTCTCGGGTATCTACGTCGGTTTCTGGTGCGAAACGCTGGAGAGGAAGATCTATTTCTCTATGGTAAGCAGGATCCTTCTTTCACTCCCTTAACGCTGCCCATGCTATCGGTAGTGCATCAAACCAGCGTATGGTGGGGATATTCTTACGAGCTGGCTTGGTTGGGGTTGAAATTATATTGACAGTCATCTCATTTGCCTTACAGATCGGATCTCTCTCCGCAATATCTATTGTTATCGTGCTGGCGCCGATGTTCCAGGGCCAGCAGTGGCGCACCTTACGCTTATTGACATTCATTTGTACGGGACTTTCCGGCCTAGCCCCTTTCATCCATGGGATTTGTATGTTCGGTTTTGTGCAGATGATGAAGCAGTCTGGCCTGCCGTATTATCTGGCTGAGGGAGGGTTGTTCCTGCTCGGATCCCTTGTATATGCTGTAAGTTAACTACCACTCCTTCTATTCCAATTGCTATTAGTACTACCACTCAAAATCCCACGGCCTATCCAAACAATCACCTGATGAGAAGGGGAAAGGGGAAAGAAATTTCAAATTGCTAACTCGAATGTTTCGGATCGTACAGACAAGGTTCCCCGAGAGCATCAGCCCAGGAACATTCGATATATACGGATCGTCGCATCAGATCTTCCATGTCCTGGTCGTCCTAGCTACGGTGGTCCATCTAGCTGGCGTTCTCGATGCGCTTGATTATAATTACTACAACCGGCAATGCCCATGGTGAATTATACCGCTTGGCCATGGGGTCTCTTGCCAGCCTCATACTATAGACAGGTATTTATTACCGCACCGAAAGATGGGTGCTGATATTCGCTGACCAGGCAGAAAATTAGGCCGAGCGGACTTATAGAGAAATAGATCGAGTAATATCTAATTGTACTACGCAGGGTTGAAGCCCTCCGCCATAGATTTAATCATTAAGATCGATGTGTCAATTCAAATGGGACGTCTAGAATTGTCTCAGTCGATAGGTCTGGTATTCCCGATGTGGAGCACAGATATCCTTCGCAAGAAGCCAGATACTCGACAATGAGAAATAGAGAACGAGACTGGCATTCGGGCTCTGCCCTACAATACGCTTAGAGAGGTTTCGTAAGTACTGCTCTCCTTTCTTCGATCACATTCCGCGCAAACTCGGGTACTCGCTCTCGAGCAAGCTCTTCTTGAAGCCGGAGTGTTTTGTCATTATATTGTCTCACCCTGACCAAGTATCAGGGCAGTGTAAGAGCTTCACTTTGATTTAGTCCATTCAAACTACGCGTATTCAAGTGAAGGTGTCAAGATGGCGCTTGAGATCATCTCTTTCTGTCTGAAAGGGGTAGGCGAGATAGACACCTAGCTAGTAGTATGAAGTGGAAGGAAAAATGGAGGCAAAAAGACGGACACGGGGCCCCACCTCCGCGAAAAACTCGCCCGTAATCGCATGCCCTCGAGGGTGTGCACCGGTAGACCACGGGATCTTTACTCCCAGGAGCTTGGCTCCACTGGTTATCAGACAGTGGTGGTGTTTAGATTGACAGTCGAAGATTGTCAAATTTGTTCCTAATACAAGAACAACCTTTATCCCACCAATATCCTTAAAGTTGTACTTACAGCTACTAGTCTCTTCTGTCTTGCAAAGCACGTCGAAGACCCTCTTACCTCTTAGCCAGTAAAATGTGCACATGAAAGAAAGGATTCACCAAATTCACAATACAAGATACAGAGATCTTCTCGGATAGTAAAAAGGGTGATAATGGTCCCAGAGAGGCTCGAACTCTCGGCCTTCGCATTGCAATCCATAGGATATTAGTACGACGCTCTAAACCAACTGAGCTATGGGACCGATATTAGGCACGCCGGTGCACAGGATATAACATCGCCGGCCTCCTTGCAATTATGTAGTGCACAAGCAGCAGTGAAAAAAAAATATTTTTCAGGGTCGGTGACAACAAACTCGGCAAAGTCAAGACACTAATGGAGCCGAGCACTAAGTCCCCGAATCGTTTGTCTAGGACGGCGTTCGTTCCAGGAACAGTGATATCTCCGAGTAATATATCGTGAAGTCCAAACGTCAAAGTACTTCCCATGTCTTTTTTATCTTCCCAAATGTTATATGTAGCCAAAATTCTTTAAGTGAAAATTTATCATACGACACGGCAGTAAACCATACGCCTCAGCAATACGTGCACGGTGGATATGAACGCCATATTTATTTCATAACGCAGAGCCTTATCATTCGCCTATTAACTGTGAAGGCACCTGTGAATGTGAAATATCCTGCTTGCCTACTCTGAAATAACTTTAAAGGTCAACCTCATTAATTTACTTTGTGTGTGTTTGTTCTCGTGTCAGGAGGTGGATCAGCCTCATGATCTGGCCCGACTAGCTCATCGGTAGAGCGCCTCACTAGTATAGTTTCCTCTTGAAGAGAAAAAACCTTCACGAGGAATCAGGGTTATTATACATTGCAATGAGGAGGCAACAGGTTCGATTCCTGTGTTGGGCATCATTTTTGCTGGCTCTGATGGCTGTATTATACTTACCTACTCTTTAATATTTTTTTACTATGAAAGTAGTAATTCCTGGTTTTGTGTAAAATACTAAGACCAACAACGTCAGAGTTGCAGATAGGATGGCCTCATATGCTATGTGTTTTTTAGAGTCATATTCCGAGGTACAGTCCTGAACAGCCCCCGACAAAGCATACGCGTACACGCACGTAGACTTGTAGGAGCCACACCGATCCGAATTCAAGTAAAAAAAATTTGCGAGGCTGTCGAATTCGAAACCATCTAGAAAAAAATATATATACCAGCGCCAGTTTTGAACAGATGGTGTATGACTGAGAAGAAATGTAGGAATTATCGTCGGTAACGGAATTTGGAATCAGTATTACATCCGCGTCTATCTACCTACCCACTTACTCCTGCGGCAGCGTCGCGGTCCCCATTTTGGCATGCGCGGCTCCTTTTTAAGCGAAGCTTCGACTACGCCGCGGCCCGCCCCTGAGACGGATCCGTCGACCGAAGGAAGGGAAGCAAGCAAGCAAGCATCCGGGATCTTAGGTCCACCGACGACGTCCGTAAGTGTGTGTGGGGGTCATCGTATCAGTCATCCATACCTACCACCATTCCGCCATTCTTTTATCGCGATCCCCCCCATTCTTCCCGAAGGAAGCCACATAAGTCCCAATCCATCGCGCGTGTGTTTTCAGTTAGCACAACCACAACAGCGCCATGGCTATACGCTGCGGGAGTTTCCAGTCATCCATGCCTCCCCCCATACATATATGTATGCGCCGCATTAGCGACCGCGTAATCATACCTACAGTAGCGCCCGCTCATCCTGACGGCCGCAAGGAACAATCTAGATTTGTTTTGCTTCGTTGTCGTTAGCCCTTGGACCCCCGATCTCAACGGCCGAACCGGCCGGCGCTTGGCCAAAAGTGGGAAATTATCGCGATCTCTAGGGATAGGCAGGCATCTATTCGTTATCTGAGTGAGCACTGCGCCGCGGGACTAAGCGCCGAACACTATACGAAGCACGGTCATCACGGATACAGGTTCTAGGAATATTGCGTATAGGTACGTAAACGGTAAGGGTCGGGTGTCATCGCTCATGACGTCCACTCTGCGAAGGAGGGGATGGGAAGACAGGTTTCCTATAGATGTATGCACATGAATAGTGATCGACTGACTTCATAATCCTAGGTACCTAGATAGTCAGCCACTTCAAACTTACAAGCCAGAAGTAAAGAGTCCTACCTTGATCAACTCTCCGAGTCAATTGCTTTGCTAGAGAGAGACGTTAAGGTAAGTGCGGGTGTATGTATAGAATGACTAATTAATCAGGAATTGTTATGTATCTCCTATTGATAGTAAGACGCTTATGGTAGAATATAACTTGAGTGTCGTATTTGAGTGCCACTATGCGATCTTATTGAGTTCAACTTGTGAGATATGGGAATTTCTATAGGCGTGGTATGCTATTCGGTCTATTCCCTAACGTCTTTCTCAGTCACATACTCTAAACATCTAGTTACTACTCCTGCTCGACTAGGTTGCGCCATGTCAGAAGAGAACCCTAGTTTGGAATACCTTCCAAAGTCATTCACTATCATGTGTCACTAGAGCTGCGTCAGGAATACGGATTATGCTCTCATAATCTCTCGGTAAGCATGAATAAGTAAAGCGATGCGAGGTCGAGCGATATACCGTCAAAGGCCAGCGCCGCCACCCTTGTGAGAGGAGACACGTCGACAGGCAAAATATGCGCCGTATCGAGACGTCTCAGGACGACACTAGAGGCGCCCCTGTCGAGTTTTCCGTGTTGGGTACGGAATTCGTACTTATTCAATATGTCGAATATACGACTGGTAACTGATGACCTTTGACCGAGCATAGACATGAGTCCTACTGAAGGAAACAGCCCCGTAGCTAGGGTATAGTAGTGTGGAGAGAAGCTGGATGTATGAAACCGTGTGTGTTGGCTAGGTGTTGAGCTTGATTGACTGGCTATAGAAACTCGGTTATGTAGAGTCAACACGAGTATAGTAAATCTTACTAAGATCTTTTCCGCCGAAGATGCAAAATCTACAATGCGGTTATCTTTGACGCCTGAGAAAAATTTTGAATTGATTGGAATCAAAGTTCTAGAACTATCATCAGCACTAGACTTGTTCTGGGGCGTCTCGATTACTATGTTTACCTCGCCTCGATGTTTTTGATCGTCTTAGGAAATTCCGAGATGTAGGATCATCAGCGCCAAGAGCTTTTTTTAATACGAGAGCGAGCGTCGTGGTCCTCTTTAATGTTCCAGGCTTGGAGCGCCCCTGCAAAATTCCTCCCGCTTGAAGATGAAGCCTAGACTTGAACTTGAACTAGAATTAGGACTAGAACAAGACCTAGCATTAAGCTTAAAGTAAGCCTCCTGAATTGATGTTTGTAAGATAACTTAAGGAGGAGAGTGAAGCACCGAGGCCGAAAGCCGAGGTCGGCCAGTGATTACTAAATATAGGTTTTGATATTCATGGAATAGATTATGGGAGTATAGTTGGACAAGTTAAAAGATGAACAACTGTTTTCCCTAAAGAGAGTTGATGAGGTGATTATGACAGCGACTTATCTTCCTATACCGATCTATACTACCACGCTGTTGATGATGCGGAATTCGGGACCGAGGCCTTTTGCGACAGAGAGGGGATCGGGGAGGTGGACAGAGCGGATCGCGTAGGCGACCGAGTGAAAGAGGGCAAGATTCTCCCTTCTCGGAGCGGCGAATAAAGCATTGCGCCGCAGCCTTGCACAAAGTCCGCAGTCTCTCCCGGGAGGCGGTGAAGCTCGGTAAGGGCCCATCTCCCATGCTACATCCGCCTATAGGTGTATGCAGGTAGGGAGGCAATCATATACTGTATGTAGGTAGGTAAGGTAAGATAAGGCAAGGCAAGGTGAGAGAGGCAAGTTATCGTATGTGAGTGAGTATGTAAGTATGTATGTGTGCATGTATGATAAATAATCCCCGGTTGCCACTAATGCGATGTGCCTAAGCGCCGTATGTCTCCGTGCCTAGGGGGAAGATCCGTTGAATCCACCGCGCGATGGATGACTAACCCTGGTATAGGACTGTCTCCCCGACTCCTGCTGACTAACCCTATCGAGAACAAATGCTACTACCTAATAACAAAGTGAAGTTTTTTCTTTCTCACTCTTACCTCTTCGTTGATTACATTGTCAACTTGTTGTTCTGTTACTGCTCTGCTCTGCCCTGCTAGACTTGACCTGACTTGACCTGACGACCTGGTAGGAGGTACATAAGTCTCACAGAATAGTGTTATATGTTAGAAAATTTGATATCTTGGCATTATACGATCCTCTAAGCGACCCCTCCGGCAAACATATAGAAGATTGCCTATCTAATGCATATGCGGTCCTACGGTCTAGCCCGCCGTGCCTCTCATTGCCTACCCGAGACTTGAGCATATGCCCTGGTGTAAGTGATTCTACATGGGATGGACTTGGCTAGAACTGTCCTGTGACTGTCGACCCCGGATACGCACCGGGGGTAGTTGGGCGTCTAAGTACTTACGTGAGATGGGTAGATTACAGTACCTTGCACTGATCCCCTGTTTTTCTATGTACGAATGATATGATATGCTGAACAGACGCAGCTGAGGTAAGATGCCTTATGTAAGGTATGTATGTAGTAAGTAAATGGCTTACATACATGTACGTGTGTTTGCGCTAAGGTAGGTCAAGGGTGAAGTACCTTACATAACCTCCTTGCATGTCTTACATAGCAACTGCCCAGGTGCTCCTCTGCACTCCGTTACCCCCAACCCTAAATGCAAGCAAGACGCACCTCCAATCCTTCTTTTTCTGTCTTTGTTGTCGTAGGTGTGGGGAACCAGATAAACATAAACTTTCCGCGCCCTAAGGAGGGGGCTAAACTCAATTGCCAAGCCCTTGATTGGGCGGCTCCCGACCGCGTCTTCGTTGTTGAACTGCGAAGGTCGCACAGGGATCGACGTCATGGTAGCTGATCGGCGGCGCTAACCTTAACTTCGAGATTTAAAGTTAAGGGGCGTGTGCAGCCATCAGCCAGCGCCCGGTTGAAACTCAAAAGCCTAATAAAGTCGGCACGTTTACCGGGTCCACGGCAGGCAACGCCATCCCTGCAAGCCTTTTTTGGGTTGTTATGGTGGCTTATCGAGTTATACGACAGTATGAACATAACGAACAAGCTGACATGTTTCAGAGAAGAGAGAAAAATAGAAAAGGGGGACCGATTGAACCTCTAGATGACAAAATAACCTTACCTAAGATAAGCTACGATGGTATCATGTATAATTCTCGAACACGCGCACCCCCCCCGGAGCGTTACATACATATAGAACTGTTAAACCCACATGTTGGTTTGGAGTCCTGTCTCGATTGTGGGGCGAACACGTACGTCCGGTGGATAGTAGATTGTGAGTGCACCTGCGATGGCCGATGGAAAATCAGATGGAACAAAGTGAAACGGGTCCAAGCTTCTGTCCGACGTTGTTAGACGAGAGACATGATATTCTGTTACATACCTACTACGTACCTAACCTAGTTCGTGCTATCATAACAAGTACGCGACGTCCGTGTACTCATCTGTAAATACAATACGTCGCAGGTGTCATACAATTGCAGCACGAGTATGGGCCGATGACCGCACCATGATAATAGTGGTAAAAGCACCAAGGTCGATCTCTCTTCAACTAACCTTTTTTCGAGGTCGGTACCGGCTCATCACCGACGGCACAACCCTCAATGTCGTATTATTCCAACGTTGAACCTGTGTGAATGAGGCGTACTGGCCCGGCCAGGTGCGAGTAACGGTACGGTAGGTAGGCAAGGGACGCGGCACAATCGGTCTCTGCTTCTACTGGTGGATAGGGAAAAGAACTAGGTCCTAGTAAGGCTTCATGTTGCTGCAAACCCGCCGCATTTATGCTGCTGTGGGTCCCGACTTTTCGCTCGT